GTTTGTTTTCGTCGTTATTTTTTTTTTTTAATGGAATGCTAAAGTTAGCAGAGTTCTTAGGTGAAAAATACAGTGCCTGTGCAAGGAATGCGTGCTGAAAAGAAGACAAAGCTCTGTGTTTCTAATGCCTCAGAATAAAATTTGTCTGCAGCCAGCTGCCCAAGTTTATGGGGAGTAATAATAGTGGGTCGGCTGCGGCTATAAAGAAACAGATTGTGAAGTTATTGTTAGTGCTGTTTGTCCTTCCTTCCTTTCCTCTTCTTCCCTCAACCTCTCTCCCTCTCTCTGCCTATTCTTCTTCCCTCTTTATTTATTTCTTCTTTATTGGAAAGGAAATGAAAGAAACAAGGACTCATAGTCTTGGGAATAAAGTCTCTGAAATATAGAGACACTAAATCCCAAACACATCTTCTCTTGGCCTGAGGGCAAAGCTCCCTGTAATTTATGAAGCCCTCGGAGATGGATGTTAATCTCAGTGATGACTCAGCAGCCCCTAGTCGCAATGCCGGACTCCTCTGCCTTCAAATCCCAATGGACGCTGTCCATGAGGTTAGACAAGGAAGGAGACTTTATTTGTCCAAGGAGTTTTTTGCATGGTTTTGAAGCGATGTAATCAAACCATGACCTGTCTGGGAAGTCAGGCAGGTGGCACAGAGGGTAACATAGGGGCCAGTAGTTTGGACACAGTGGACATTGGGGGACACGCAGGGAGTGCCCTCCTCTGGGGGTGACCAGCAGTTGGCCAATTTGGGCAGACATGACTCAGAGGAACTGAGATCCCATGCGGGGAGCCGGAGAAGGCGATGAATTAGCCCAGGCACTCAGCGTGTAACTCAAGATGGGTTTGGCCATAAGTAGCAAGGCAGGAGCCTATTGACTGGAAACAGAAGAAATAAAGGGAAATCTGTCCTCTTAAATGTGTCCTGATTATGAAAAGAAGGGTCATAAAACCTGAGGCCAGGGGGCCACCCTGGTGGCGCAAGGGGTTAAGCATCAGCACTATGAAGCAGTCCCCAGCTACTGCAGCACGTGTGCGCAGAAGACCTCTCCTGTCTCCCCGCTGCTCCCCTCAGCAGTGTGTTTCAGTCAATCTGCCTGTTCTGCTCCCCACTCTGTCTCTGGTGACTCCTCTCACCCCCTGCACCTCTAGCCTGCACCCCAGCTCTTGTATGCATAAATAAATATTTAAAAAAAATCAAAACCCAAAGCCAGGTAACCACACAGGTAGAGGTAATGTAATTGCAGCTTCAAACCTCAGGAACTGAATGCCCAGGATTTAAGGAGACCACAGAGTGAGGAGGCCCACTGAGAAAGTGCCTTTTCCAATGCCTGTTTTTTGCTAAAATGCGAAGGAGGGAGTTGCGAGAATTTCTGTGCTGATGCCACCGCCTGGTTCTGGCAACATTCCTTTGTTATTCTTCACTGTTTTCTGTGTATTAGGCTTATATTTCCCAATCTGTGATATAAATCCTGGATTTTGAAGCGCCCTGATTTTTAAAGATAATTGGTTGTAAAATCCCTCCATCTTATTTTTACACCAGAGATACGTTGAACTGGCATGTCTCATGTCCACGCGGGTGTCCTGGTGTCTTTTCACCTTGCACATTCCCGTCATTGTCCCCACAGGGTCATTCCCCCTCAGCCACGATTCTCTCAGGTGTGTGTGGGCCACAGCCACTTGGTCTCTGTCTGCCAAGAATCTCCTGTTTTCTAGATTGAATTCGTGCAGAATTCTTACAGCAAGTCTGCCTTCCTGATTGACTGAAATTGTGTGAAAATAAAACTCAAGGCCCATCTGCTCCTCTAGTTTTCGTCCAAGATTCCCTGGAAGGGAAGTACGGTGGAGACCAAATATTTGCCATCACTGTGTGGCCGTAGTTTTGGAAGAAATCCCAGTATGGGAAAATAAAATACTAAATTATTTCAAATGTTATTCTCTCTCTCTCTCTCTCTCTCTCTCTCTCTCTCTCTCTCTCTCTCTCTCTCTCTCTCTCTCTCTCTCTCCTCTATAAAATCCCTACCTTTCCCCAGGGGTTTGCCTGATTTCCTTATATTTAATGTCTGCAGACTATTGAGACACATGTCCTAGCACAAACAGCAAGCTGAGTCTTTGGAATTTTCCATGTGTAATAACCTCAGTTATAGTTGGAATAAACATGCATCCACCATCGGAGTCGACACCCTGGCAGGATGGGTGCACCCATGGAGCCCCTTAGCAACTACCTCGGGGTAATTTCAGACCCGTCATGGACTCCTGATCTTTCTTACACTATTTCCTTTTTCTAGAATGTTCTTAACTCTCTTTCTAGCCATCTCTAGTCCCTCAATTCTTCAATCTTACTCATTTACACAACCTGATACCATAAGTGATCATTCATCGTTCTTCTTCCTGCCTAAGTGGAGGATTTGTGATACCAGAGCAGAGGTTGGAAAACCTTTAGTGAAAGGTCAGATAGTAAATAGTTTAGCTTTGGAGACCATTTGGCCTCTTTGGTGATGTTCCGCCGCTGTGTGAAAGCAACTATAGGCACAATGTTAATGACTGAGCACGGTTGTATACCAATAAAACTTTATTGACAACAGCGAGCAGTGGGCCGGACTGGGTTTATAGGACACCATCTGTGAGCGCCCAGATTTGACATTGATGGAGGGTTTGAGAGCCGACTTCCTCATTTCAGCTGTGAGTCATCTGTGTTACTGGGGTCAGCATTACATTTCAAGGACGAATTCACAACTGACCAGTTCTTCACCTAAACGACAGTCCTGCATTTTAAAGCTGTTACTTTCAGTACTTCATTATATTCTATTGCATATTGAATCACAAATGGGTACTATTCTCTTGCTGTTTCATGTTCAATCACCTTCTGTGTATCCTGCTATAATTGTCACTCATGGGGGGAATGAGTTATAGGGAATTTTTATTCCCCAAAGTTGTTAGAACAATACAAAGCATAGAGTAAGGTGACAAGCAGTTATTAACATCTTCCAGGAGACTATACTATACATGAGCATTTTCCTTACTTAATGATATGGTTATGGAATATATCTCAATTTAGAACATAAAATTGCCAATGCCTAAATTCTCAAAATAATTCTATGCTCCCTTTAAAAAAAAATCATCTCTCCTATTCTCTTCTCTTTACTGGTTCAAATTTATTCTAATATTGCTATTCTGAATTATATGAATTCTAATGTGGAAAGTTTAAAATTTGGTATGAAGATGACCAATTTGTCACAGAAGTCAAATTTTTAAAATGTAATTTGAAGGAACAATCTTCAGATTTTGTAAATGCCATGTTTAAGTTCTAAACTTCAGTTAGCGGATGGATTATTTAATCAATTATTCATCAACTTTATTTGAATTACTTTCAATGTAACATTGAATGTTTACTTTGAAAATAATGCACCTTTCATTATAATTACCCTACTTGAGCAGATTTAGACTAGGGCAGGTTTTCCCAGCACAATCCTCATAATTTCTAACCAGGCTCACCCCATAGGCCCACAGAGGTCACCCTGGTTAAGAGGCTTTCCTTAATAAAGCAGCAAGGGAAAACCAATAGCTCCCCCTTACCCCACCCACCCTCTCAAGTCTGCCTATGTTCATCTCTGGTGTATCTCTGCAGCATTTACCAGGACCTCACATTTGAAGGATGCCTTTTAGGATTTTAGCCTGTTTCTTTCCATTAAAACACAAGTTCCATGAAGACAGACCATAATTGTCCATTTCATCCGCACGCCCTGGGCTTGGCAGAGTGTTGATGACCATGCATATTTGAATGAATGAAATAACAATGAATGAATAGTAAAACATCCTCAATGTGGAAAATTATAAGCAACTGTTATTCCAGTTAAATGCAGAACATACATCCAACAGTCTAAGAAGTTACACTCAAGAGTCTGAATGAGGAGATGAGGATTTTTCATTTGTGTTCAGTAGCAGCTAAACTGAACAGTGAATTTCTAAGCAATTAATGTGGAATCCTTCACTCCAGGTCCTCGATTTATGAACTGATACTTTGAAATGAAGGTTGTGTTCATCTTATCATTCTTTGACACTTAACTTTCTGGGGAATCTATTCACGCACACAGTCTCTCTTTCCCAGAGACACTTGCAGCATAACTAAGAAAACCAAGTCACCGAACAATGTTTGGGGGATAGATTTGTTCATTCTAACTTCAGATTTGTACACACCGACGGGAAGAGATCATGAATATTAATCTTTCCCTGGTGTCATCAGGGACCTCATTCCACTTGAGTGACTTTTCACGGGAACTAACTCATGCTTGCTCTTGCTAAAACCTTTGTTTGTTGATGTTGTGATAGAGACCTTTCTAGAACATGCACTGCACTTCTCTCTCTTCAAAGAGAGCATGTACACCCATCCACCGTTGAGTGACCACCTCTCTGAAAGGAGGTGTTGTACCATGTTGTAATTCCGCCTTGTGCCCTGGGCCTCTGGGGCTTGTCAGGCTTAGCTGTTTGTTTGTTTTTTTTTTTTTTTCCTATTCTTACTTTTATTCATTCTCCAAGTGCTTTCAGAGCGCACCAAGTACGAGGTGCTCTTCAAATCACTGGAGAGTAGCAAACTCTCAAAAACTTTATCCCCATTGAGTTTCCAGTCTAGTGGGAAACAAAGGCAACCAAACAAATAAATGAGGTGGCTGTAGATGCTATGGAGGAAAATAACGCAGAGCGTAGGTACAGAATGGTGGCAGGAATGCGCTCTTACTGCCTTGTGGGCTAGGAAATGCTGGCTGCATCAGCGAAAGTGACCTTGAACAGAGCCTGGGATGGGTGAGGGGGGAGCTGTGATGGGGATGGGGTAGCAACTTCTAAGGCACACAGCAGGAACAAGCGTGTAATTGAAGGAAGAGGGAGGGGACTTTGGTGCCTGGACATAATGGACAAGGATGCTGAAGATGGGGTCCGTGCAGTAACCACTGTTGGCCACTAAAGGGCGTTGGGCTTTCTTTGCGTGACAGCGTAGGAGGTCCTGAGTATTTGAGCACAGGGTCTGCTTTCACTTTGAAAGCTGTCCTAAGTTGCTGTGTGCAGAAGGGCTATAGGAGAGAAGAGAGGAATCAGGAAGACTACAGAGTGTTTCACAACGTGATGTCCGGTGGCTTCTTGGACCAGTTGGCATGAGAAGGTGGAATTTGGAAGATGCCTGCAGAGAAGGTAGTCCTGACACAATTCTCCCAGGGCAAGAGTGACCGAGGAGAGTTGGGAGTTGAGTTCCTGGGCACTTTAACATTGAGACACTAGGACAATAAGAAAGATCTGCCAGAGGGTGCAAAGAGCAAGCCAGTAGTGACTGCAAGGATCACCTGGATCCAGTGCAGGTGGTTGGTCTGGCACTGGTGAGCTGTTCTGGCTGGTGGCTCATCAGATTGTGATCAATCCATGTTCTTATTTACTGACACTTATTTCTAAGTCTCTTGGCTTTGCAGGGTTCCTCCTGGCCCTGCCTCCTCCAATCTCAATGCTTCTAATCAATGTTTCTGTATAAATCTTTATCCCCAAACTGCAGATAGACCTGTACAGATCCAGGGGATGCCAAATTCCAAAGCTTGTTGAATAAACAACCTCAATTTTAGTTATGATTCTTAATTGAGATCTGAGTTGAGGCTGCTGTGGTTGTCATGAACTTGGAAAATCAGGGGTTTGTTTAACTGTCCCTGTGATTTATTAGAATGACTGTAGTTGAGTTGCTTAAAGTCTGGTCATTTACTCAATGTGGTGTCACACATTTAAAAATGTGTACTAGATTTGTTCCTTATTTTAGCAAAATCAACTTAAAGATATCAATCATCATTTCAAGATTTTTAATGACTGTCTCATTTCTTTTCAGAAAAATGTGATGAACCACTGGTATCTGCCCTCCCTCACTCAGCTTTCAGCAGCTCATCCTCGATGTCTGGGAGTTATTCTCCGGGCTATGCAAAGATCAACAAGCGAGGGGGTAAGGAACACTTATTTTCTTTGTCAACAGATGTGCTAAATAGGGACGATTTATATTTACACTGTATTTCTAAAATACATCCTATTGCAAATAACTTTTACCAAACACCCCAAATTATTCTTCCTACTTCTACTAATAGACCCATATATACTGCAGAGCTATTTTGTATCCCCTAATCAAAAATGATGTAGGGAAACTGGGCCAGGAAGTTAGAGGTTGTAAATCAAAGAGGAGGAATTTTTGGAGTTGCAAGTGATAATGTATTCAAAATAACAAAGATTCTGAGTTATGAAAATTCTTGTTAATCAAAAAATCATCTAGAAGTTAAAAGGAATTGGCTGCAACTGTGTACAATGCATAAAATGAATAATTTATATTCTCTGCATTTTCCTCTTTTTATTGATATACAAACTAAGTTTCTGTTGAAAATGCAGGATGAAAAAAAAAGTAACCTTATACAATTTCTCCCCTAGTCTCAGAATATAGCTTTGTTGTTAAAGCTGGGTAAAAAGCACTTACACATTTGCAAGTAAAATTTGAATTTTGGCCTAGAAAGTTGAGTTATAAATTAGTGAATGGTAATTTCAAAGTAAGGAACAGTTCACAGAGAGTAAAAGAAGGTGATTATGGACAGAAATGTTAAACTTTGCTTCAAAGGAACACTAATACAAAGACTGATGAGTAGCAACTTGAAAAGAATAGAAAAAATGTCGGGATAAATTTTATGACAAAAAATCAACTAGGAAGATAATTTTTACTCATTAAGACAGGAAATACTAAACTCAAATTACAGCCAATTGGGGGGTGGATGAATGTAAAGTCAGGAAATTATGGAGAAAGGGAGGAAAGGAGGCAGGGAGGGAAGATCATGACCAAAGGTGAAGGCAAACAAAGAGAACAGGAGAAAATCTAAGGCCAGGAGAAACACTAAAGAGAAAGAAAAATGAAAAGAGGAGAAACAGGAGGAAATTATATCAGAAAAGAGAGAAAAATGTGTGGCTATCAGAGAGGTTTAAAAAGACCAAAAGGAGAAAATAGGTAGACTATTGAATATACAGAAAACTCCATACACAGATTCACAGAAGTTTTAAAAGACTTAAATGTGGACTAGGCTTTTTGAAGAAGACACACAGTCAAAGATAAAGGGATATGCATTTTAAAATATCTACAAGTGTTTATTTAAAAGTAGTATTAATTACTGCTTTATTTATAATCTAATATTCATCAGGATGTAGGCAGTGGAGGGTTGATGAGTTATTGCAAATTGTCAAAAACTGTGCTTAAAGATGTCAGAGTAATGGGAATTTTAATTCATTCCTTTTCCTTATATGTCATTGAAGAGAAAATAAAAAAAAAATGGATATTGGTAGAAATACACAAAACAAGGAACTGACTAAATCCAAATAGTAATCGTGCTGCAAACCTACCAAATACCAGGATATATACATCAAAATCTAAAAGAAAAAAAGAGAAAACACTTACCTCCCCAGATGTCAAGAGGATGCAACATCCTTTAGAAGGTCTATGAGATTTCCAGCAATTTTAATGAGAGGAAGCAGGGTCACAAAGTGTTTCTTTAGAAAGTTTTGTGGGAAATATGACTGATGTATTTTATACCTAGTGAGGATGGACCAGTCAGTTTATAGCAAGTGTAAAACTTCTTTGGGAATACAGATGATACAATGTAGCCAGCTATGAGGTGTGTGCAAACAGAGAATAAAGACACCATGGATAAGTGCCTGGTGCTGACCCATGAATCCTTTTACATATAAGGTCATCACCAAACAATAACTTATGGATGCATCTTATCGCTGCAAAATGTGAAAGTACCAAGTTACGAGAATTACGCAGGTAGGTTCCCCACCCCCTTCTCTCCTGCCCCACAAACTTTCAGAACAGGATGCTACTAGATACTGTGCAAGTTTACTTTGTCCTTGATATTTTCAGGCTTTAATATCTCATAGGAAGCAGCATCAATAATTTTGTTGTTATCTTCTAAATTGTTACATTAAAGTATTTTTTTTTGTTTTAAAATAATGCAAGATGCCACTTTAACTTATTTGAGTGACTTGTTTATTTACTGCTCCTCTATGTAAGGTACAAGATGTGAAATAGAACTTCTAAAATGTCAGATTATGTTTTTTAACCTGGGTAGTGGATTTGAGAAATGTCTGTTTTTTTTATGGTTTCTTTGTCAGTTATCAAGTCTTTATCTACATCTACACATAGATTCAGAGATCAAGGTCTCATGCATTTCCAAAATGAAAGTCGTTTCAAAAGCAAAAGACTGTAAAACAAAAGTTACGGTTTCTTAGCTGTTTAGCCAGCAGTTTCTCTCTCTTTGACTATTTATCTGATGCATTGTCAGGAATGGGGTGAAATCAGGGGAGTAACTGTTGGAAGAAAGCATTATCTACACTCTATTTAGAGGTTTACACTTGCCTGTGGCCATTTATCAACATTTGCTACGTGGGGAGCTGTGGTGACTTACTTTTTGGTTACCAAAAACATTTCTTTGCTTAGAATGGTATCTCTCTATAATTTCATATAATCCCCTTTTCCTGTCCCTTTCATATGTGTGTGTGTTTGTTTGGGACACAGTGGACTCTTGCTCCATTCTTTGTGCTGCCTTGTCTCTGCACATACATATTGGACATCCGTGTGCAGGGTCAGACTTCAACCTCATTGATGACATCAGTGTACAAGGTTAGCATTCACCCACGTTGATGACATCACCCACGTGGATCGGGTGTCAAGCATCAGAGAGGAGGGAGTGTTAGTTCTCCTAGAAAAAATACCCACATTATTTTCTTATTTTTTAAAAGATTTATTTATTTATGCATACAATAACTGGGGTGCAGGCCAGAGGTGTGGTGATGAGAGCATTGACCAGAGACAGAGTGGGGAACAGAACAGGCAGACTGACCGAAATCTACTGCTGAGGGGAGCAGCAGGCGAGACAGGAGAGGTCTGCTGTGCCATGTGGGTAGCTCCCTGGCCGGGGATTGAACTTTTGCTGCAGTGACTGAGGCTAGCTTCATAGTGCTGAGACTTAACCCCTTGTACCACCAGGAAGGCCCTCGACATTATTATAATAAAAAACAGAGTTTTTTTTTTTTTATTCTGTTGTAGGGTTCATTTGCAAATCCTCTTGACAGAGGAGTCTTATTGGCCAAAATCCATGCTAATGTATAAATGGTAGTGACTTGCATTGATGAACAGCACAATTTTTTAATGCAGAACATTATTATATATCTTAAAAATAGATAAATGCAACAGAGAACTCCAAACATGATTAAAGATAATGTAAGGAAAGCAGGGATGCTGGAGATAGATTTTCTTGCTTCCCTATGGCAAGAGTCAACTTATGCATATGGCATGTAGGCACGTGACTGGGGGAGGGTCAGATAAAATGCAGAAGGCTGAAAGGATGTAACTGACTAATTATGCAAATATCAAAAAGGAGAGCAAATTCAGCTGAACATTATGTTGACACACATTGGCTTCAAGTTTGTATCATTTATTTAAATGATATTCCTCCAATGCATTTTGGAGACACAGAACCTCTGAATACATTGAATAGCAGAGACTAAGTGCAGAGCTACGTGGAGATGACAGGTTGACACACATTTATAAAGCTGAATATAATTTTTGGGTCTGCACAGGGAGAATCCATCTGCTCCAACCTTGATGTTGGAGACCAGGGTTGTGATGAAGCTGGGAGAAATAGGAGATTTAAATAAAAAACATCCACTTGTAGTCCCACACTGTCTTAGGGAGCCTAGCTGTAAATTTTTTATGTGTTTGTTTTTGGAACATTACCCACCTCCTGAGATCAGTATTCTGGATTTATCTTCACATACTGAATGCATGGGAGGATCCCTGGTCTTGTGTCATTCTGAGTCAAAAGAAATGAGATGGATTACTCTTTCCAGAGGGTAGCACAGATATTAAACCTTGGAGAGTAGTGCAGAAGGTATTCAGTGCCTCACAATTACACAGTATTTTACTGATTCTAAAGTGCTTTATATCTGTCGTAAATGTCGCTTGATCTTCACAGCTGTGTTAGATTAGAGATGCCAATCATTTCTTCTGTCAAGCTGTCAACCTTCCTCCTCAGATGCCTTTTGTAGAGACATTTCTCTTTCTACTTCCCCAAAGGGACACTTGTTCAACTCCATATCATCTTAGTCTGGTAACCACCAGTGATTAGCGAGAACCCGTGACCTCAGCTGATACCATCAGACCCTTTTATGAGTATGTGACATGGATTTGGGGGCCGTGAGGACTACTGGGAAGCCACAGTGGGCCACATGTAAATATGACAGGGGAATGAAGCAGGGGCTGATGAGGAAGTGGAGGCAGGACACGGGGGTGTCCCCCAGAGGGTGGGTGAAGCTGCTGGTCTTGTCCCTTATCTCATTTAGGGCCTGGCACCATTGTGCCATGTCCTCTGTCTGCATGTCTGCTTGAGTCTATGCAACTGACCCTCCTGCCTGCGCTCACTGAAATCAATTTGCCTTCCTAGTTGTAAAGAACTCCTGATTTTAAAATGTTTTAACATCTCCATTTTATTGGCCCAAATAATAAATGGAAAAAACCCAAAAAGATATTGACTGAGACTCTACACTTCAGATTTGAAAGTCACAGCGTGAGGGAACAATATTACATGAGAGAAAGCCACAACTTTGGCTCCAACACACACTCTTCATGCTTGGGTGGTGCCATATGAAGCCAGGTCAGTGCCTTGGGTGAATCAGCCCAAAGACAGAACTTCAAGGGGCTGGGAGGCTTGAGTCAAGTTTGATGACTGCTCATAGCCAGGCAGCCCCATCATGTGACATCAGGGAATTTTACATAATGTAAATCATGGATATTTTTTTTCTTTCTCCACCCTGTGACATTTTCTTTTATTTTGAAAATCTTTCAACACTTGCTGCTCTTGGGGAGACAATGTTTAGGCTTGCTTCTTGGGACTCCCCCATTGTAGGAGTTTGTCA